AAAGCTCTCGAGATGTGCTATAAGAATATGCAATGAAAAATGGGGTGTTCCATTTAAAAAAATTAATGTGACCTTGACCTGACCTTCGCTACGCAACCCAAGGTCAAACTGATGTGATCAGTAAATACATCTTTTTAAACACCACAACTTTTGTCTGAAACATTTTTTTGTAAAACTTATATTTTTCCTGATATTCGGGCGTCCCGGTACTTTCCGAACACCCTGTATATGTTGCGAAAAAACTGCCTTCGCCAGGACGACTCGAACCTCCCCACTTTCCGGGCGGGACGCCTTTCTATTCGGCCACCGAGGTTTCGACAGTAATCTCGCAACACAATGTTTATAAATTCTCTAAGGTGTAAGTTGAGAGAAAGAAAGAAAAAATCGATCTCGTAAAAGATGTTATTATACGAGAGAGACATAATTATCCTCCCACTATCATATTAATATTATATAAAAAATAATATTAGTATTTAATAGCCCTAAGACATCCGTGCAGTACTCCTTATTTGCCTCTTTAATTCTTACTGTTAGTTTAATTTATTTCTTTTTCAAATTTATCTCCCTCAATCTCTCTACCGTACGTATCTATATTTCTTGTATGTGGCCCTTTATATATTAATGTCAAATAAATTTATCGAACTTTATAATGTACATTAAATTTTACATTTGGTAACATCAATTTTATTTCGTTGCCTATTAGTACGCAACCATCTCAATTGCGCAACATTCTTTGTATTGGTCAACAGGCGCCAGTAAAACGATAATAGCAGATGTTACGATAACGATATTAATTGAGAGACGGAATTTACATTTATTTGATTTAAACAAAATTAAAATAAATTTACTCATCATTCATGATGAGATATTAATGGAATATAGTAAATATATGAAGAAATAACTCTCTATGAAACTGTTATTTATAAATTAAATTAATTTTTTCATTTGTATAGTTATATAACATTTATTCATGCATATATAAATTATGTACGCCTATATACATTATATACATTTGTTGATCAATGATTTATTGGATTAATTCCGCATTATTATCATTGAGGAAACCAACTTGCACGACGCCGTAAAATTCGTTACCAAAAGAACTGAAGAACTTTCTATCATAAACGAAATGTTTTGCACTACAGTTTTACTCTTTCAGTTTATTTCAGTAAAAATATAATTGTTGCATCAAAAAGTCTTTTAAAAAATCATTCTTCGCACATTTCAAGATCCTCATTAAGTCATCCAACAGCCACTAAGTCGTCCAAGCGCTAAACTACCGCAAGATTTTCACCAATCTTGACAGATTGCGTTGACAGTGCGTTTTGCGAAGTGTTAGAGACTTAACGTTTGGCTCGTAAATTGCGAGAGATATTCACTTCATCCGCATTGTTAGGTGACAACATTAAATATAAATGAAACGGGTGAAATTCGAGTTTGTCAATGAGTTTTACTTTTACAATGAACATGAATCTTGAACATATTCAAAATACCTATTCTTTTGTATCTCTATACGATAAGTTGAAAAAGTATGTGGGTAAGAATGACAGCACTACTAGGCGGTATCATGACAAACCTCATCTTTTTTTACATTGACATTCTCTTGCATCACTTTATACAATACGTGCGTACATCTGCGGACATTAATAATACAATTATAAATCGCTGCTTTGTACAATTATTTCTTGAAAATTATACTAAATATGCAACTCGCGTATTTGAATCGATTTGCAAATTAACTATAAAGCCTTAACAGGCCCATGAGGGATTATTATTTTCTATTTGTACGGTTTTACACTACAAAGAGTGAGAAAGCGCTTTACGGCATTCCATTACACATTTCCATTATACTTAAATAATAATAGCACTCTGTTGACTACACCTAAACCATTTTGATTGATAAGCATTATAATTGATTGATCGATTATTGAATAATGCAATCTGCCCTCTTTCTCTCATCTTGAATATAAATATTCTTCAACCGTCTAACAACTAGTTTCATTGAAAATGTCTTCCCGAATTTATCAATGTTGCAAAATATGGCCTATCCGGTGTCGGACAAAGAAACTTCTCAAAGAGATTCTGCCAATATGTCGTTTTAACGCCAATCGGCTCCAACATGTTATTCCACAAACTATTTGCAACTGCAAAAGGAACAACGGTAATATATTATTTCAAAATTGAGAAAAAATAAACATTTTTTTGCATATAGTAAAATATAATTATTTTTCCATAATTCCTACATAAAAAACTTACGTTGAGCGTTAGCTTTTTGTGTAATGTGAAAACAATCGTTGCTGAAATATGTCATATCGTTATATCCATTCGAAGTAAGTGGTAAGCGCAAATCTAATGTCAGAGGTTGAGCTACGACTGCAAAATCATCTTTTTGGAATTCCGGGTAAGTAGAGATTTCTATATCCAACTCTTGCCATCTGGAATATATATATGAAAACTTTAATTGATGCATATATACCTTCCTTATCGTTGATTTTTGTGTATTTCAGAAAACAAAAATTCAATTCAATTAAATTACAGAATAATTACAGAATTACATAATTTTCAAAAAAATTTACTTTACAAAAGTATCGTTTGTGTTGCATACTGACCGTCTCATGATGTTATAATATTTTGGTAAGAAACTCTGAAATCTAAGGCCAAACAAACAAGAACATGCAACATTCGTTGTGAGATAACATTTTGGAAAACTCCTTCTTCCTATATTTTGGTTGCCAATCAAACTTTTCAGATGTACCGGCGGAATTAATGATACCAATGTCCGTGGCAGATTATCTCTCAATGTTCTCAAAACCTTAAGTAAATCTGTTTTATGTTTTTCGAGAATTGACCAAGGAGAAGAAACCCAACATATGTCGCTGCAAAAGTCGTTATGTCCAATCATAAACGAGATTAACTGTAAATCAAATTATTGTTATTACCATTTAGTTGCCAGGAATATCTATTAATCGATAATACAATCTATCTTCGAGGCACACTGCTAGATGGTGATTTATTAAGAGTGAAAATTTTTGAAAAAATGAACAAAAATTGGTAAATATATTTAATGTTATTATCGTGTTGTAAAAAGAGAGAAATCCAAAGTTCTATCAAAGAAATAGTCTGTAATTGGTTTGATTATGAAGCAGCAGCACATATAGAATCCATTATTCTAGTATGTTCCCGTTGTTTCGTTTTACAAATAAACAAAATTTACCGAATTAACGAACCTTCCAATGCTTCTTTACGTCTATTTTCGGATGGTTTTTAAGTCTCTTGACCAGCACTTCCGCCATATAAGGCATATCCTCTGACATAGCACCCAATTCGGCGACATTTAAATGCGATGCCTCATGAGTTGTCAACGAGTCTCCAGTTGCGTAGCCTATTAAATTGTGATTGAATTCCTGTATATTGAAAATTTTAGATTAACTAATTAACACATTCAATTATGTGACGTAAATAAACGTTTCCGCAAATCATGAATAACTAAATATTTGCCGACGAATACGTTATCCATGCGACGAGCTTTTAATGCACGTTGGCTGGATATGCATTTGCAATATAAAAAGGATTTATTAAATTAATACATCAAATTGTTTAAATTTATCACACGCTATTAGTACAAAGGACTAGCAAAATATCTATGACTAGCAAATATCTCTTACTTTGTCGTAAAATAATATTTTCACTAGCGTTAATAGTGCGGAAAATACGTTACATAACTAATACGTAAGGAAACCATGATTTTAGAAATAGAATGTTAATTGGTTTGATCTTAACCTTGATTATATTTGGAAGAGTTAGATACTGCCTCCATGTGCCTTGACCTCCTCCAAGTGCACCAACTCCTCTATTTTCTACGAAAATCTGTAATAAATTGTGCGCAAAAATTCCAGCCCCAGCCGTTAATGAGTCACCCATAGCGGCAATGACATCGATATCGCCTGGCCTTAATTTATGTATCGAATCCGGCACCTCTTGCGACCTTCCACCTGAAAAATTCATCAATGAAATACTAGCACATCTCGTATATATAAGAGATGAAATCTCATGCCTGTTATGTTACAAGGAAACGGGACGTTGTCAGGAACGATTTCTTGCATAGTATGTTTATTTCTCGCCATTTGAATGTCTCTCCCACCTTCTGTGCCTGTCCTACCTGCAAAATCGACAAATCACGTGAATGAATATGGCAAAAAATCGCTTGCTCTAACCTTTACACGTTTAATAATATAGCTATACGCGTATATCATTTTTCCTATCGAGATGCTTGGTGAATAAGTGGAACGAACAAAAAGTACTAGAATGATACTTGACAAAAAACGTGTTATTTATTCATTTGCGACTCAAAGTACAATTATACGATGTATATAATCGGAACACATGTAAACGTAGTCCAATGTCTTCTTATGTGCATGTTTATCTGAATTTTATTTTATTGAAGAAAGATACAAGTAAATTACGAGAGCATTTAGTAGAGAGAGAAAGAAATAGAGAGAGTGAGTGGGAAATTCTTAATAATTTCTTAAATTTATCTTTAAAATTATGTATGGGAAGTATGTGTGATGTTTTTCTTGCGTTTATATTAGTAGATGATATGACGCATTTAATAACAGCGTTACAACTTGAAAAACTAGAACAAATGCCCGTTACAATTTTTTTGAAAGTCGGTCAAAATCTTAGTACGACCTTTGCATCGGAACACGTGAACGGAACTAATGAGATGCAATAAATGAATAATACTTGATAGTAAAACATATAGTTCAGTTCGTGTATTCGATATCGCAAATTACAAATTCATTAGTACAATTCACATTATACAATTTACGAATAATTAATTTATTCAAATTGAAATTGAAATTTCTATATCAAGGAAGATTGAAGAAATTTCTGGTAAAGGTGTAGAAAAAGGGCGCCACCTCCGATCAGCCTGATCTTGACATATGTCATAGAGGTCACCCTTCTGAGTGACCTTCTGAAGATTTTAGCCGTCGCTCATTGTTTGTTAAAAAATTATGGACTGACTTAGGTTTAGGTTCAAATAAACATAATTTTCTACAAAACGTTGTATATGTTGTATATACTATATTATATTAAGCGTCAGTCATTCTTTATTAAAGTGTTCAACTTTTGTATTAATGTGACAACAGAAAACACAAAAATTAAACACTTTAATAAAGAATGACTGACGCTTAATGTAACGATAGGTTGGGTTAGGTTAGTTTTAAGGGAGTGTGCGGGGGACGTAGCCTCCCGCTAGTTGTTCGATATCGCACTTATCTTTCGATATTGCTCGTTAACGGGACACAGTATCGAAAAATTGTAATATATTTTTCGGACTTCTTTCATCAATAATTTTTTAACAAACAATGAGCGACGGCTAAAATCTTCAGAAGGTCACTCAGAAGGGTGACCTCTATGACATATGTCAAGATCAGGCTGATCTGAGGTGGCGCCCTTTTTCTACACCTTTACCAAATTTCTTGTTTTTGTATGTTTCACCTCATTAATTATACATACCGAAGATGTCGAAAATCCAATTTCGAATATTACGTAGCTTCATTACATTAATGGGCGAGTCGAGTTCAGTTCTTTGGGTCGACCCTTCCGTACACAAGCACAACAGGATCCAATAGAACTGCCACCGCTTCCACATCGTTCCCTTCAACGAGGTAGAGAGAATCACACCGAAATTTAACTGAAGTTGAAACACGAAGCTTTAATCCTGAAGATGTACATTACCGTCCGAGAACGAGATAATCAATGTTACTTTGCGAAAATCAATTTACCAGGTAGACTTGGATACACTGACGACCTTGTTCCGGTCACTTTGACGTTCAGCCAAGATACCTGCCACGTGCCGACGTAATAATGCAAGAAGAATGAAACGTCATTCTCGCTGTATGATAAAAGTTGTTGAGAAAATGCGTTAGAGAAACTTATTGTATATGCTCGTAATCTTCGATCTCGACTGAGATACTTTTAATCGAGTTGGAGTTACCTAGCTATATATGTAGCTATATACCTAGCTATTCGCGCTATTGTCTAACCTAGCGCTATTGAATTTGTATTTAACACATATGAACATATAGTGTTCTGCTAGGAAATGCAGTGTGCATATGAAGAGAAGGAGGAGCTGTATCCTGGTACGCTGCTGCAATCCGATTAAAATCTGCCGATCATTCGTATACCATTGCAAAATTGACTTCCTACCGTATGACCGAATATACATACCTCCTCCGATATTAGATTTCAATATTTTGCATTTGTTTGATGTGAGTACTTATTAGTTTCTATTTAATCACTTAACAAAACTATTAAGTCGTAATAGAATAATAAATAAATCTGTATGTAGTAAGCAAAAAGAGATAAATTTTATATACATTTTTATTATTCATGTACATTTTTAATATCTGATAGGGAGAGATCAAGAATATATAATATGTGTCAAAATACGTCATGTATTTGACACAACAGTGACGTCGCGGCGATAAGAACCATTCATTTCCGTTATACAATAGAATTGTGTCCTTTCGCTTAACTTAATCATAAACACAAAACGATTTATTTTCATACGCTCCTACGTTACATCATGTTAATTATCACTTCTGATTATATTTTTGACTTTGATGGTCTATTTATACTTTCCAGCAGATTATTCATCGTAATATATCGTTAATGCAATGTGTGAATGCACTATTCTTGTCATAAACTTATTTAAATTACTTCTTTCGCAGACTTTTCTTTCTCAATCGATCGTATCTGTATTTTTTGTATGTTGCTCTTTATATATTAATGTCAAATGATTTTACAGAATTTTGTATCGTGCATTAAACATACTTGATAGCACTGATTTTATAGTAACGTGCAGTTATCTCAACACCGTCAATATTCTTTCATTTCTCAGACGCTGATAAGGTTACAACAGCAAATAACAATCGACACTGATATTAATCAATATGGAAGATTTGCATTATTAAAATATAATTTAAGCGAAATTAAAATAAACAATTAATGTTATATTTTATTTAATATTATGTTTTACGCTTGTAAATATCTAGTAAACGCATCTCGTGATGTAAGAGTTTAAAGATGCTTTTTAAATGTGATTATTTGTGTACAAACGATATCATTGCGTCATTAAACAGGCATTAAGTAGTCCAAGTACTGAACTATTGCCCGATTTTTTATGACAAATCATGATCATGATCTTTTTGGAGCGTATTAAAAGCTTGGCGATTTGCTCATAAATTGTACGTGAGGAGGTAAATCCGCTTCACTGCCATTACCAAATAACAGCACTAAACATAAATCAAGCGGATGGACCTCCAACTTACCGATAAATCTCACTTTTATAACGAATATGTTCAAGATACCTTCGCATTCTTTCGTAACCCTATATGATAGTTCAGGAAGTAATAGCGACGACGCTAAGAAGCGACGTTATGACAAATCGTTTCTTACATTGATATATCCGCTTACATTTATACATACGTCTCCTCATATTTATTACAAATTGCCAATTTGTAAAATTACATTTTGGAGATTGTACGAAATATACCACTCACGTATCTGTCCCAATTCGTAAATTAACTATAAAGGGCCGTGACATTATTTTTAATCTCGCGGTCCTCTGTTATAATTGACAGCGTCAATTGCACTTAAATAATTATGGCACTCTTGTTATAAGCCGTATTATCGCATTACAATTGATTGATTGATTACTCAGTAACGCAATCGATATTCTTTCATCAAGTTTTCTTCAAATGGACAACAACTAGTTTCTCTGAAAATTTTTTCCCGAATTTTTCAATGTTGCAAAATATGGTCTTTCCGGTGTCGGACAATGAAACTTTTCAAAGAGGTTCTGCCAATTTGTCGTTTTAGCGCCACTCGGCTCCAACATATTATTCCATACACCATTTGCAACTGTAAAAGTCAAAGAAATATTGGTAACGTATTCTTTCACAAAACTGAGTTAAACATTTTCTCTTAGTAAAATATAGTTAAACCAATTTTCTATATTTCCTAGATGAAAAATCGAATTTACATCGAGCATTAGCTTTTTGTGTGAGGTGAAAACAATCGTGGCTGAAGTATGTCATATCAGCATATCCATCCGAAGCAGATGGTATCTTCAAATCCAACGTAATAGGTTGTGTTACAACTGCAAAATCATCTCTTTGGAATTCGGGATAAGTAGAGATTTCTATATCCAACTCTTGCCATCTGAAATATATATACATAACTTTTTAATACATATCTTTTGCTGTCAATAATGTTTTTGTGCTTCAGAAAATATAAAAAATTCATAAATTGTAGAATCCAAAATCTTTTGAAAGAACACACAAAAGATATGATGTTATTTTCAGCGAAATTCTCTAAAATATAGCATTAGGAGGATTCTTCTAAAACCAAAAGGAAAATACTCTATCACCCGAAAGAAAAAAGCGCTAGTTGTATACTACTATTTCTTGCAATCGCATATTCCAAGTAACAACTCTTACCGAAAGAGTATTCCTCTTTTAACGAAATAAATCGGAAATCAGTTAGATAGTATGCTGTTATCCTTTTGAATCAAGAGGATTGTATTTATTTGAAGCAGAAAGTTCTCTTATTAGGAGCAATTTCTGTTAAGAACAAAATTTATACTGCAGAGCACGAAATGTAAAGGACGTAATTTCTGTAAAATTAAGAATATTATACTATTAACCTTTTGGTTTTATATGTAAAAAAATCCTCCCAAAAATAAATTTTTAAAAAGATTTACTTAATAGTATCGTTTCTTAATTGTATACTGACCGTCTCATGATGTTATAATATTCTGGTAAAGAACTCTGAAATCTAAGACCAAATATGCAAGAACATTCAAAATCCGTTGTGAGGTAACATTTTAAAGACTGTCTACCCTTACGGCTGTCAATCAAGGTTTTCATATGTGGTGGCGGAATCAACGATACCAATGTTCGCGGCAAATTATCTCTCAATGTTCTCAAAACCTTAAGCAAATCTGTTTTATGTTTTTCGAGAATTGACCAAGGCGAAGGAACCCAACATATATTGCTGCAAAAGTCGTTACATCCGATCATCAATGAGATTAACTGTAAATCAAATTACTGTTATTACCATTTAATTGCCAAGAACACTTTATTAGTCGATAATTCGATATGTTTGATGTGTATACTGTGAGATGACATTGTGAGTAAAAAATTTTTAGAGATACGAGTTATATAAATGGACAATTGCATTTAATAATATATATTGCTGCATAGAAAAGAAAGTAAAAATCCAAGGCCTGTAAAAGAAATAGTACGCAACTATTTCGATCATGAAGCAACAATACATGCAATTTATTATTTCACGTTCCTGTTGCTCCAATTTACAATCATAATTATCTAAGTCTATCGAATGTAACAAACCTTCCAATGCTTCTTCACATCTATTTTCGTGTTATTTTTAATTCTCTTGACCAATATTTCCGCCATATAAGGCATGTCTGCAGACATAGCACCGCTTTCAGCGACATTTAACTGCGATGCCTCATGAGTCGTCAACGAATCTTCCATTGCATAGCCTATTAAATTGGGATTGAATTCCTGCATATTGAAGATATTATGTCACCTAACTAGCATATTAAACATACGTAGGTAAACGTTTAGTCATGATTGACAAAATATTTGTCGATAAATAGGGTTGCACGGCAAGCTTCTAATTCGGTGGCACCTTGACTGAAGATACGTTCACGATAAAGAAAATTAAGTTAAATATATCAAATTATCTAAATCGTCATGCGCTTATCACGCTACATTACTCCAGAGGAGTAACCCATTAACGGGTTAATGTCGTAAAATTACGTTTTCGTAAAATTATATTTACGATTACGTTAATAGAGTAAGAAATGTAAATAAAATACGTGAGAAAACCACGATTCTAAAGATAGAATGTTGACTGATTTTATCTGAACCTTGATAATATTTGGAAGCGTCATATATTGCCTCCATGTGCGTTGGCCTCCACCAAGCGCAGCAACTCCTCTATTTTCTATGATAACTTGAAGTAGATTGTTCGCGAAAATCCCAGCTCCAGCCGTTAAAGAGTCACCCATCGCGGCAATGACATCAATATCGCCCGGCCTTAAATTATGTACCGAATCCGGTACCATTTGCGATCTACCACCTGAAAAATTTATCGCCGAAATATTTGTATATCTTGCATTTACGAAAAATCAAATCTTATACCTGTTACGTTACAAGGAAAGGAGACATGATCGAGAACAATTTCCTGCGTAGTCTGTGCATTTCTTGCTGTTTGAATATTTTTCCCACCTTCTACTCCTGTCTTACCTGCAAAATCAATAGGTCACATATTATAATGTGCTGCAAGGAAAGGCAGTGAGTGATTTGAATAGTTGAAACGTTTCGTTATCGTTATAGAACTCGTTTTAATTCGAGAATATGAGTCAAGTGCAACGGTTGCATTAAGCAGAAATAAATAAAAGAACGTATGAGAAAAAAATTCGATTATAAAGGGTAAGATGGGACAAATGTGTATTATGCGTGGAGTATTATGTTTAATCTCGAGACGTTTCTGAGAAATTTTCCGTATCGATATAGCGCGATTGCACTTGTGAGTACATTAACTAACATTTATGCATAATAGTCTCGAAAAAAGAGATCATTTTCAAACCATTTGAATCGTCCGTTCAAACCATTTGAACCATGGTCGTCATAAATGTGATAAATACAGCAAAAAAATGATGGAAGAAGATAGATATAAGAAATCACGAGAAAATTTAGTAAAAAGAATGTGAGTGAAAATTTAAATAATTTTTCATATTTTTTAAAAATTGTATACAAAGTCTGGTTTAATGTTTTTCTAGCGTTTATATTAATAGCTAATGTGATGTATTTAATAGCAACATTATGACTGGAAAAACTAGATACCCGTTAGTTCTGTTCAACCCTAAGAATTCCTCGAAAGTTAGGATCGATTTTTCCAAACTTTTGATAAGTTAACTAACAATTAGATTATATGTCCGCCTTTGTGTTTTCTTCAAATTAGACAAAGACAGATATCTGATTTAACTATTAGTTAGCTTATCAAGAAATTGTAACAATTGGCTTTTGATGCTTGTATTAAAATGTTTGGTAAATAAGCGAATCTAACAAGATGCGGTCGATAAATAATGAAAAAACACGCAATTTATACAGAGCTGAACGCAAGTAATTTGAACGCGGAAATTACAAGATTAATGTTACTACTTACATAATATAAATTACGAGTAACTATTTTTGAGAAATATTTGAAATTACTTTGTCAAGAAGAATCGAAGAAAATGGTCCTTGTGTTTTCATATGCCTCATCTCGTTGATTACATACCGAAAGTGTCGAAAGTCCAATTACGCAAAACACGTAACATCATCACATTAAAGGGCGAGTCGAGAGTAGTTCTCTGAGTTGACACCTCCGCGCACAAGTATAATAGGATGCAACAGAGTTGCCACCGTTTCCACATCGTTCTCTTGCATAAACAGACGAGACCGGAAGAACCACTTCGAAGAGCACCCAACCGAACTTGAAATACTCGCGTATGAAGATGTACCTTGTCGCTCGAGATCGAGATGACCAATGCTCCTTCGCGAAACTCAACTTACAAAGAAGACTCGGATACAACTATGACCTTGGTCAGCTTGTCCGACGACTCCGACGATCGACCAAGGTAGCCGTAATGTACCGCCGCGACCATGCCAGAACGATGAACCTTAAACCTCGCCAGCGGATAAAAATCATGGGGAAAACGCGTCGGAAGAACTTGTTACTCGTAGTCCTCGATCTCGGTTTTATACACTTTTGGCCGAATCATATATATAACGTAGCTCTATCGAATCACTGTCCGACCGCTATCAGATTTGCATTCAACATACGTTTCCTTGTTCTGTTCAAGTAGTATGGCATTGCTCCAGGAAATGCCCGCTCGTGCATGTGAAATGAATGATCAGCTGTATCTCTGTACGCTGCTGCAATTCATTAAAAATATATTGATCATTTGCATATCATTGCAAAATTATCTTTCAATAGTACAAGATCGAGTATGACTTCTCCGATATTAGATTTAAATATTTTACAGTGTCTTGTGATCGTTTGTTGATATCTACTTAATCACTTGCCAAATCCGTTGAATTATAATGAAACTATTAAAAATCCAGTATGTTGTGAGCAATAAAGCAAGTAAAAAAGAAAAATTTCTCCTTTTTTTTATTATTCATGTATATTTTTATTAATTATTATTAATGTACATTTTTAATATCTACCGAGGGGATCAGAATACATTCAGTAATACGTGTCAAACATCATAACAATGCATATTATAACAATGACATTACGGCGATAATTCGTTTCCTTATATAAGAGAGTTATGTTTTACCATTTCTGCTTGGCTTAACTTGATCATAAACACGAAACAATTTATTTTCATACGCACGTACGTGCGCGTTGCATCGAAGAAGTGCATCGTATGCGTCACGAAATTCTTCTTTTTCTGTTCCAACTTCACAAAATATTTTTGGGAGAATCGAACCACAATTCAGGATATTATGCGAGCGATGAATAATTTTAAATCTCTACATTTTCTTAATTGTATTAAAATAAATCTATGAATAATTAAACGCTAAACAAATCGTAAAGTATTCTCGATAACGTGACCTTTAGAAATTGTAAAAACCTTGAATTGAAACTGAGTGGATCGAGTTCCTCCTTTCGATGTAGAAAAAAGAAAGATCGTTCAAGGTGATAGCGTCATTCCCCGAGATATCCACTTCTTCGAATGCCTATGCGGTACAATCGGCAATTACATGACTGTATGTACTTTTCTGACCATTAAACTTAAAATTCCGCATCGTTACAATCGAAAAATTAACTTGACGCCGTATAGTTTGTTATTAAAACAACAAGAAACTTTCCAGTCGTAATGAAATATATTGCACTATGGTCTATCTATAATTTGTGACACTAACGATCGTTAAATCACTAAACAATCACACAAACACTAAACTACCATCCGATTTTTTCTAACAGATTGTACTCTTTTCAAAATGTTAAAATCTCGGCGATTTGCACATAAATTGCTTGTGGAAATTGATTCACTTCAATGGCATTATCAGATTGCACTAAACATAAATGAAACGAATTAAGGAGAGGCACTTTAGAGCTTATCGATTCATTTTTAGAACTGATATATCCAAGATATCTCCGCGATCTTTTATATATCTATACGGTAGTTGAGGAAGTACGCGAGAAAGAGCAACGGAGCTACGCGCAAAGCGGTGTTACCACAAACGGCATCGCCTCTTACATTGATATCCATTTGTATCACTTTACACTTGTGCCTCATATATTTACAATACAGTTACAAATCGCTACAAAATTATCTCTTGGAAATTATAAAATATATTAATTACAAATATATCACTGGCGTCTGTGACACAAGTCACAAATTGGCTGTATAGGCCTTGACATACCAATAAGATTATCATTTTCTATTCGTATTTTTCTATAAAGAATGAAGAAATACATTATGGTGCTTCGATTGTACTTAAACAGTTATGGCATTCTGTTTGTAGACCGTATTATCGCATTCCAAATTGATTTATCGATTACTAGAGATGTGCAAACTATTCGAATTCGAATCAAGTGAAGTTCGATTCGATTCAAATTCGAATCCTTATGATTTGAATTTGAATAATTCGAAAGTTTTGAATCGAAAATGTTCGAATAGAAATGGCGCACATTAGTATTAACGAAGTACTATTAAAGACATTTAGCTTTACGGGAATTAACATGACTTGAAAAGTTTGCTACAGATTAAGTTTGCTAAGATTTTATATATATATATATCTTACCTTAAAATAAATTGATATCACATGATCAATATTATCTCTCTCATACTGGAGTCACTATTTTCATGTTGAATTCAATGTTAATTAAAAATTTTTTCAACGATTCGATTTCATTCGATTTGATTCGAATTCGAAATTAAAATCTGAGATTCGATTCCATTTGACTCGACATAAAAAAATCTTTGATTCGCACATCTCTATCGATTACCCAGTAATGCTACTTGTACTTTCTTCCTCGTTGAACATAAATATTTTTCAACCGGATAACAACTAGTTTCTCTGAAAATTTTTTCCCGAATTTTTCAATGTTGCAAAATATGATCTATCCGGAGTCGGACAAAGAAACTTCTCAAAGAGATTCTGCAAAAATGTTGATTTAGCGCCAATCGGCTCCAACATGTTATTCCACACACTATTTGCAACTGCAAAAGAAACATCGGTAATATATTATTTCAAAATTGAGATAACCATTTTTTCGTGCATTGTAAAATATAGTTATTTTTCCATATTTCCTACATGAGAAACCAAACTTACTTTAAGCGTTGGCTTTTTGTGTGATGTGAAAACAATCGTCACTGAAATATGTTGTATCGCTATATCCATCCGAAGCAAGTGGTAAACGCAAATCTAATGTCAGAGGTTGAGCTACTACTGCAAAATCATTTTTTTGGAATTCCGAGTAAGTAGAGATTTCTATATCCAACTCTTGCCATCTGAATACATTTATAACTCTTTAAATAAGGACTTTTAAATGATACGTATCTTTGGATATCAATAATGTTTGTGTATTTCAGGGAACATATAAAAATTTATAAATTATAAAATCTATAATTTCTGAAAAAATTTACTTAATAAAAATATTGTTTGTATTGCATACTAACCGTCTCATGATGTTATAATATTCTGGTAAGAAATTCTGAAATCTAAGACCAAACATGCAAGGACATTCAAAATCCGTTGTGAGATAACATTTTAAAGACTCTCTACCTTTACGACTTTCAATCAAGATTTTCATATGTATCGGCGGAATCAACGATACCAATGTCCGTGGCAGATTATCTCTCAATGTTCTCAAAACCTTAAGTAAATCTGTTTTATGTTTTTCGAGAATTGACCAAGGCGAAGAAACCCAACATATACTGTTGCAAAAGTCGTTATGTCCAATCATAAACGAGATTAACTGTAAATCAAATTATTGTTATTACTCGTACTATTTAGTTGCCAAGAATACTATTAATCGATATATCTTCAAGACATACTACAAGACGATAATTTATTGAATATTTTTGAAAAAAATAAACAAGAACCGGCAATTAAGTTTAATGTTATTGTCATATAGAGAGAAAAGAAAGTAAAAATAAAAATCCTGTAAAAGAAGTAGTTCGTAATTGGTTCGATTATAAAACAACAGCATATGCAATTCGTTATTCCAAGTTACTTCGTTTTACAAATAAACTAGGTTTATCGAATGTGACGGACCTTCCAATGCTTCTCCACGTCTATTTTCGGATGGTTTTGAATTCTTTTGAGTAGCACTTCCGCCATATAAGGCATGTCCTCTGACATAGAAGCGGTTTCAGCGACATTTAGCTGTGATGTCTCATGAATCGTCAGCGAGTCTTCCATTGCATAACCTATCAAATTGTGATTGAATTCCTGCATATTAGAAATCTCATGTTATGTAATTGAAACGGACAACGTAAATAAATGTTTTGTTTAGTCTGTAGGTTTCGCGCGATAGGTTTTGCGGCTATTTTTTCTTTATTTTTTTGTTAAACAGGGATTTTTCGTGACTCGAAAGTTTAAGTTGGAGATTAGTTGTGTCGGGAAAAGTTTGTGATTGGTACGGTGTTATATCGTACCTAACGTCCAACGCTATCGATTTTTGGTGAACCTTTTTGTTTTAATAATTATCGCAGAGATCCCCTATCCGGCGGTAATTTTGCACGGGAAATGTCTTAAATCATGAATAACTAACTTTTTGTCGATGAATACGGTAGTACGTTGATTGTAAATGCTTTCACGATATGAAAAAGATATTAATTATATTATATATATATATATATATATATATATATATATATATATATATATATATATATATATAATATATTAAATTAACACATCTAATTGTATCATTTATCATTCGCTTGTCAACTCCATTAATACAGAGAATTGGCGAAATAATATCTATTACTTTGTTGTAAACTTATTTGTACAATGACGTTAATAGCGCGAGTTAGTGAACTAATACAATAAAAATCACGATTCTAGAAATAAAATGTTAATTGGTTTGATCTTAACTTTGATTATATTTGGAAGAGTTAGATACTGCCTCCATGTGCCTTGACCTCCTCCAAGTGCACTGACTCCTCTATTTTCTATGAAAACCTGAAATAAATTGTGCGCAAAAATTCCAAGCCCTGCCGTTAACGAGTCACCCATCGCGGCGATGATATCGATATCACCCGGCTTTAATTTATGTACTGAGTCAGGTACTTCTTGCGATCTACCACCTGAAATTTATCATGAAAATATTCGTGCATTGCATATGCAAAACATCAAATATCATACCGGTTACATTGCACAGGAATGGGACATGATCAGGGACGATGTTTTGCATAGTTTGTGCTTCTCTTGCTATTTGAAGGTCTCTCCCACCTTCTGTTCCTGTCTTACCTGCGAAATCAACAACTTATGTATTATAGTATGTTGGAAGAAGAATGCAGTAAATGATTTAAACTTTTTAAACGTCTCGTTATCGCTATAGAACTCACTTTTACCCATGAAATCATGAGTTAAAGAATAAAAATAATTTGTTTCATTAAGCAGGAATAAATAGGAGGAAGTAAAAGAAAATTAAAAAATTCCACTTTCCGCAATAAATAAAAAAGTTTAAGACTATTTGAACTAATATGTAATTACGATACGCGTGTCGAATTACACCGGTTGAGATGATGAATTATGTAGAAGAGAGAATAACGGGATAGGAAGAAGCTTTACGAAGGCCCAAATTATGTTTACTATGCTGGAAGGAAAATTTCCAATATGTTTAATAGAAATATACATATATCATTTTTGCTATTGAAATGTTATCGAAAGGCACAAGAGGTGATCGATCAGTGATATTTGACAAGGAAAAAAGTGTCACTTATGTCGCATATATGTGCGCCTATGTATAAGCGTTATCATATTGTAAATGGATAATTGTAGTTAGTATTTATTATATAAATTCTTAATAATATGTTAGAGAAATACTATAACTCGTACTTACAGCTTCAAGCGTTGCAAAGGTTTTCACAATTTACCTTATACCACTTATCTAAACAATTTATAAACGTTGCATTTTAAATGTGTTTCTATTGAGCTTTATATTATCGACCTTCAACTCGTTTTAATATGTTTGCCACTAGCGTCATATATGTGAGATACAACGATGTGAAAAACAAGCGTTTTTTATGTGCACGTTGAACAAAGTATTCACGGTATTCACAGTCCGATTTTACATTTAAAATCGCCTCAAGTTCATCTTCAGATATTCTATCAGATATCTTAGCCAACTAAACGACTCATACAATATCTGAAGATAAATTTAACACAATCATAAATATAAGATTTGATTATGAGTATAGGTCAAAATCTCTTTTTTATGCAGTTTTATGTAAAAAAAAAAAAAAAAACAAAAAAAACAAGAAAGGAAACTGCGAGAGTCTGTGTTTGGAAAGTCTTTCAAATGAACCATTGTAGCGAACGCATCAAGCTATAAAATCATAATTAGACAGTCACTGTCCTAGTTGACAGTTATTTTAGCGAGTAACAATTGCATATTTTAAACAAAAAAATGTTATTAGATAATAATGGATAAGCACGCAGTTTACACACTGAACCGAGTGCAGGTATACGCACACGCAATGATACATTGCCAGTTACAAAATTATTGTTACTATATTCACATTATGCAAATTACGAATAACTAATTTTTGTAAACACTTAATATTTTTACATCAAGAGAGATGAAAGAAAGTAGTCTTTGCTTTTGTGTGTCTCACCTCGTTGATTATACATACCAAAGGTATCGAAAGTCCAATTTCGAAAAACACGTAACATAATTAAATTAAGGGACGAATCGAGGGCAGTTTTCTGGGTCCACCCAATCGCGCACAGGTGCAATAAGACACAATAGAGCTGCCACCGTTTCCACATTTTTTCTTTGGTTGAATGGACGAAATAGGAGGAATCACTCCAAGAACATCCAAGTTTAATCGAAGTTGAAACACGGAACTTCACTATAGAGACGTGCTTTGTCGCCCGAGATCGAGATAGTTAATGATCCTTTATTGCAATTCAACTTATAAAGATGTAGGTAGACTTTAATCCGACGACTCCGACAATTAGTCCACAGCGCGCTGTCGTGATTATGCAAAAACAAAAAATCGTGATGTTCGCAAAACAATAAATCGTGATATAGCATAAAAATCGTAGGAAAAACACAAGGAGCTTGTCGCTCGTAATTCTCGATCTTAATAAAGGCAATTTCAATCAAGTTGGAGTTAAATATACGTAGCTCTATCAAATCGCTACCGCAGCGCTATTAGATTTGCATTAGACGTATATAAATATAAGCACGTTTGATTATTCCTCAAATCGCATACAGCATTTGAAATGTATTCTTGTGCATATGAAATAAATGACGAGCTAGTGTGTGTGTGTGTGTAGAGTATCCCCCAAATTCTCTTTATCACATTAAGTAGGAATGTAGAACGGGTTGAGATAAATAAAAGTCTTATACCGTTTTGCGATATTCGTAATAATAACCAAGAAATTAATTGTGAAGGTTAAGGAAAAATGTACGCTGAATGGTTGAGGAGCGCTTGCGACCCAGTAATATAGCAAGCAAATGTCAGTGCGCGTCTTATACCGCTCTGATCCTACATCTTGTCGCACCGCGCTGAGGCGAGATGTAGGAGTGCAGCGATATAAGTATAGGCAATGGTGCGTTGTTTTTCCAATCACCGCGCGCCGAAATCTGTGCGCTATATTAATTAGCGCTCCACTCTTAACCATTCAGCGTACGTTTTTCCTTAATCTTTTAATTTCTCGGTTATTATTGCGAATATCACAAAATTGTATAGGACTTTTATATTCATCTCAACCCGTTCTACATTCCCACTTAATATGATAAGGAGAATTTGGGATACCCTATATATATATATATATATATATATATATATATATATATATATATATATATATATATATATAT